AAAAAAAAAGATACTTTTTACATAATCACTCCCAAACAACACTCCAAAATATGTTGATCTTTCACATCTGTGCAGGCAGTCCACGGCCCAGCTCTCTTGTTTTATATGTTTATGGGAGTAGGTGAAAAATTGATTAAGCTGAAATAAGCAATTATTTTTAGATAACTCAAACTCCTAAAAAGTCTTCCATTTGAAGATCACAAGTTTCACTTCACGTCCATCTACTTGATATTGGCCATAAAAAATTGACTCTCCGTGTAATTGATCCTCTGATAATAAGACAACACGGGAGAAACAAAATTATGAGTGTGAACTATATTATTATTAAAAATTATATTTGATCAATTTATAAGTTTTAAAATTCGTCCTTCATCTTCTGGCACATTTTTTCCTCCTCTACCACTAAAATCCACTGCAAGTAGCAAGGAAAGACTTTCTACGAAATTTACAAATCGCGACGAAACATTTTTCTACCTAATAAATGTCATAGAAAGTTCATTTACGAGGCATTATAGAATGGTATGTATTTTAAAAATGACCGTTATTACACTAACATCATTTATTTTTTAATAAATTCTCGTCTTGTCGTTTATCCTGATTATCCGGCCAATGTCATTTTTATCTCGATCCCACTTGTTAAGAGCGAAAACATGGTCATAGATATTGGTGTTTTTGATAAAAACTGAAAGGGAAATTGTCAAAAATAATGGCTAAATGACTCTATCTTCTAGTTAAAAATTGACTTTGGATGCCATACATCACAATTTAGCCATCTTGAAAGGGCTAGTTTAATTGTCTTTTCCCCATCAGATTTTGATCAAATAATCGATCGGCCAGAATCTTCCAGCTATTTGAACGTTTTCCTTGGAAGAAAAAAATATTTTTCATCTAGACTTTTCACACTGGAAGAAAATTATAATAGCGATATAATATTCTTGAAGGATTGTTTATCGTCTAATTCGTCTTGGTAGTTTTGATTATTTATGTATAATTTCATATTTGAACCTCACTAGTTTTTTTTTCCATCTCATCCTTAATTTTGTGTTGTCCAATTGCATAATTTAATGTCATAGCGAGATTGATTGAACCGACACATGTTCATATTGATTATTATGAAATTAATGATCACAAAACATGAGCAAGTTTTTGATTATTTATTCTTTTTGGTCGTTAACTTAAAACGAGAGAACTCTATAATTAACTAATCTATTGTGATTTTGAATTTAAAATTTAAAAAGAAAAACATTAAACAATATCTACACGTCTTCGAAAAGTATTTAATTATGAAATTTATTGCCAAAGACTCGCTTTCCTAGTCAATGCACTGCGAAATAAATGAGTATTTCTTTTATTCTGCCGTACTGAGTTGTGAGTTGATTATTAGGAGGCTCCTCTTCCCCGGTCGTTCCCTTGAAACGTGGAATGCGCCGGGCGAATTGGGAAGGTGAATTTGTGGGAGAACGAGTCAAACTCGTTTCTGACACACCATCCCTCACTCGCTCGGTCCAACTTACGCCCTTTTTTCTTCCATTTCCTACGGATATTAAAGCATATTCAATTGCAGACTTCTAAATACACACACAGAGACTCTCAGAAGTTCATTTTCTTTCATCTTTAATTTGGACAGAGAAAAAGAGGGAGACTCTCCATTGAAGATCAAGTTCTTCTTCTTCTTCTTTTGTATATTTTGATCTTGCATGTAAATATGGACGGCTCACGTGATCACGATCAAACAGTGATTATCAACTCTCATTATGATCATGGAGAGAAAAGGGTTGTCAATGAAATGGATTTCTTTGCTGATGAGAACAGTTCTAAGGATGCATCAACGACGTTTCAATTCAAGAAAGAGAACAAATTTGATGGTGTTGAACAAGAACTTCGTCTTAACTTAAGCGTATGCTAGTTATTCTTAATATACTATGAAAACCCCCCCGTTTTTTCCTCGAAAATCAAAGGTTTTATTTTTAATTTTTTTCGATTTTTTATGATTTTATAGACTGGTTCGAATCTTCTGGCCACAAAAGCTATTGCCAGCGTCAAGTCTATGAAGGATGATAATGCATCATCCAGAATTTCCAATGAAGTAAGTGTTTAGGGTAAATTTTACATCAAATAACAATCTTTTTAATGAGGTTGACTTTTTAAGATGAATTCTGGTGCAGGTTGTAGTTATCAGGTCTGAGCTACACCGTGTGAACACGGAGAATGAACGATTAAGAGATACATTGAATCAAATAAACAGTAAAAATTATTCTTTACAGATGCAAATTGGAACACTCTTACAGCATCAACAAAAATTTCAAGGTGCAACCGCAGTAGATCAAAAGGTTGGTACTAATGTACAGTTTAGTTTTATTCAATATTGAACTAAAAGAGGTAATTTTGATCTTATTTCACTGTGATATTTTGACAGATTTTTGATGATAAAGACATACGTTCACATTCAGTATTAAAAGGTATGGAAGAGAATTCAATGGCTGATGAATTGCAGAAGAATTTTCAAACAAAAATACAGATAGAAAAAAGCCCAGAAAAGAATTTTCAAGAATGGATTCCAAATAAAGTAGCAAAATTTCATTCTTCTTCCAAGGATATGGATCAAGCCGCAGAAGCCACTATGAAAAAGGTCCGCGTATCAGTTCGAGCACGATCAGAGGCACCTATGGTAAGTCAAGACAAGAACACAGTAAAAAAAATTAAAATCTTGTCTATTATATATTTATCATTCGTTCCTATTCATTAATGAACTATTTTGTCACCTGGTCTTGATTTAGTGAAGAAATATTTATATTGAGCTTTTTACACAGATCTCTGATGGATGCCAGTGGAGAAAGTATGGGCAAAAAATGGCAAAAGGAAACCCCTGCCCTCGAGCTTATTACCGATGTACCATGGCAGTTGGCTGCCCAGTGCGCAAGCAAGTAGGGTTAATCACTCTATTATTGATGCTACTTTTCTCATGATCAATTGATTTAATTAAAATCTTTTGAATTGTATTAATATGGAATCAACTCGTCTAAAAAGGCTTAGAATGTCAATAAAGGGACGAAGTTATTTATTTAGGGTTAGGTACACTCAGTAGTCGTGTGAACTTTTAGCAAAGTTTTAGGTTTGTTACTGTCCTGTTTGGTCCGAATTTAAATATGATTTTAATCCAAATCAAAGTCAAACAATTAATATTAACCACATCTTTTATGTGTCTCACAACATTTCAACCACACATTTCAAAAACTTGTATCACAATTTACTAAAAATCTAATTTTAATTCCTACCAAACACATATATTTCACTCTTTTATAAGATGTTCATTGAGCTTAAACTTTGTTTCGGGTCGGTTACTTTGTTCACTTTTGTTCGTTTAACTAATAGAAAATGTGAAATGACATTCAATTAAGCTATTAGTTATTTCTACCGTTACTTAGACGGTAGTCACGAACGTTCAAATTATATTGACTTTAATGGTTTTATCCCCAATATATTCTCAACATGTCCTTCGTGCGACCGTGAGATTCTTAATTTTTATAAATAGCCAGCAATGAGATTTGAACTATTCATTTAATATATCACCTTTGGAAAAAACTTTTAGGTCTTGTAAAAGAGAACAAGTTTTATTTAAATGTAAATTACACAAGGCTATGTTTATGTGACAGGTGCAAAGGTGTGTAGAAGATCGTTCGGTACTTACAACCACTTACGAAGGCAACCACAACCATCCGTTGCCCCCTGCTGCCATGGCAATGGCCTCCACCACATCCGCAGCTGCATCAATGTTGCTATCAGGGCCAATGCCAAGTGCCGATGGATTCATGAACCCTAACGTGCTTACTAGAACTATTCTTCCTTACACTGCAAATTTAGCATCAATTTCAGCTTCATCACCATTCCCTACTGTTACATTGGATCTCACAAACACTCCCACCACCCTTTCACACCTGCAAATACTCCAAGGCCAATTCACTCGAGATTTTGGGCTGGGGCCACAGGCCATTGCCCAGGCTCTTTACAACCATTCGGGATTTCTCCACCGAGTCTCTGATGCTGCTTCTTTTAGTAGTGAAAGCTCTCACGATATGACGAATGCAGCTACTGCAGCCATTGCCTCAGACCCAAATTTCACTTCTGCCCTAGCGGAAGCCTTAAGCTCCATCATTGGCAATATAAACCCAAATATTGGTAGACAGTAAAAACCCTCCAAAAAATGGCAGTGAAAGCAACATGGCAAATGTAAGTTTTGCAAGAAAGTGAGTTACATATGAGCATCATCTCTTTTTGCTTAGGACACTATTTACACTTCATTATTGTTTTTATTTATCGTTTTTTCTTTCTTTGATTTTCGAACAGGACGTAAAATAAATAAGTTCATCTGTATTTTCTGCAAGCTTTTCCTTTTCCTTTATGTAAGTAACGAGAATGATTAATTACTTCAAAATTATACATCTGAGTCTTCAACAATACTAAGTGCTTCAACCATTGTCTCCCTAAACCTTGCAAGATTAATCCTTACATTCTGATTGTTAAGATATATCTCCCTGCCTACTTCAGAGCTGCAGGATTGAGGGTCCTTGAACACTGTATGATTTCGTCCGAAAACTTCAAAAGTGAACTCTCCTCTAGTTCAATCCTATATATATGGCAAGTAGTGCACGCGCATTGCACATGTCGGATCACCATACAGGCCGATTAGTTCAATTTGCACCATAACTGCACCAGCAGGCAAGAACAACTCATTCTTCCATCGTGGAAGCCATTTAATCTTCGTTTAGGAACCTAATAAGCTCCTGAACAATATCAGTTCCCACAGTGTAAATAACTACTCAAGACAAGGAAGAAGAATAGAAAAGGAATTCCACAGTATTTGATTAACTAATTATGAGCAGCAATAAAGAGAATTGTTGTATGTTAACAACGAATTGAAATTCAGATATCTGGCATTTGAGAGGCCAATTCTCTCCTAATGACTACCAATTTCTGCCTGCCTTTTCTAGTGAATCTTACCCCCATTTATACTTGGTTGCCTAACTAATTCAGTTAGTGTGCATGTGACTGTTTTCTCGCCATTTCCTATTCTGCCCTTGCTCCTTTCTTACGCCTTTGGTATGTCATGTGGATTGCGGGTCTATCAGAACCTTCTTGTTTTTCTGCGGGATACCAGCACTAAATTTGGCCTTCTGATTTCTGATATGTGGACAAACTTGAGATTATATGCTTGTCTAAGAAACTGCTTGAAATCCTGAATCAAATACCCTCCGGGGGTGTAGCTGGAATTCAAAGCCAAATGGCCTTGAAATTTAAGCCCAATTATTGCTCCTGGAAAATAGTGAACGCTTTGATCTGCAACCGGATTAATCACCTCATAAGCAGACAATTGTCTCATAAGCAGACAATTGTGACGTAAGTGATAAGTGTGTTTTGCACACTTATTTATGTCACAAAACGTGAAAAATTGTTGATATATATGTTGAAATATGGCTTAATTCGATATAATGTGTGTTTGTAGGATTACATTGATGGATGGAATGAAGAGTATGAGAAAATGAACGAAAAAGGACCAAAATGGAAGAATATGAAACTCCGAGGACCAAAATGCAATTATTCAAAAGATGACCTGAATGGTGAGTCAAGTATGGAATTGAGCTAAGTAATACATTATGATATCATGTGATATTAGGAGAAGAAGGACAAGGAATTAAGGCCAAAAGGTAGATGAAACAAACTTGGGGACCAAAGTGAATCAAAGAGAAAATTATTTCTACCATGCAGTCGCATGGTAGAAAGTCCATGCAGTCGCACAAGCATCTACAGGAGATAAAATTGAAGAATTAGGTGACATCTTCTCCTAAATATTTTCTTTGTTATTTTATTTTATCCATGTTAGGCTTGGTTTTTATTGTACTAGGTGAACGATGAACCTCGTAATGTGAACTTTTAATTTTTTTGTTTTGCAATTTGATTTTAAACACGAATGATGAATGTTGAATGATTTATATACACTTTATTTGTCTTCATAATTAAATGCATGTAATTATGTGAGTTTGGGCGGTCTATTTCTGGCATTCGAAAGAAAGGAAATAGATTTTACAGGGTGTAAATCATTGTAGGGTTCGATAGGGGATAGAAATATACCCCTATACTTTACGTGAATTTTTAAGTGTTTCTAAAACGTTATGCGTTCTTGTATATTGGCATTTGTTATAGAAATATAGTCAAATGGTATGCGAGAATAGATTTGAGTCCACTCGAAAGAGAATGTTGAATATTCTAGGAATATTGATTCTTCAATCAATTCATCGTGTCGTGCTATCGAATTGTGAAATAAATGTTAAAAGTGAACTTACTTAACAATTCAAGATCTTAGTACGCTTTTCATACTTAAATTACTTCAAACATTTGCATTCAAACGTTATTTTTGCATTTAGTTTGTCTACTTCCATATAAATTTGCTTTTCTAGTATAATTTAGATAATTTCATACGTGAATAATCTCATTGAATCAACTTAGTTTCGGTTAAGGTCGAGATAATCAAAACTTGAATTAGCTCAATCTCTGTGGGAACGATACTTGGACTTCAAAACCCATTTTTATTACTTGAACGATCCGTATACTTGCAGTAATCAAAGTCGAATACATTTTTCGGCGTGTCAGTAAGCTTGCCGTATTTCAGGCCTTGTAATCCTTGAGGACAAATTGCACCAACGATCTAAAATGTCTAGTCGTAATGAAAAGAGGGATGATAATTTCGTTGAATTCGTGGAACAAGTTTCCTACAAAGCCACTGGACGAGAAGATTACAGCAGGGACATTGTGAATGTACTGGCAAGCCGGTGGCATAGTATTATTACCCTATAGTTGTAGGAAAATTGTTTCAATATTGGATACCGGATTTGCAGTAGCAGATTCAATAACCTTGAATACAATGGATTCAAATATACACAACAGATTTAATACAGTAGCAGATTCGACAATATATGTTAAATTGCAGTAAAGTGTAACAGTTGATTTAAACAGAACTACAAACGCAATTTTGCATAAACGAGTGACAAACAAATAATCGCAGAAATTAAATGACAGGAAACTTTTAACTCGAGGCCTGTGTTCCACACAGTTTCCTTAAAACAGATTCGCTCCCTCACCGTCTGTGCTTGAGGTTCAACAGAGCGTCCGCTTCCCAGGATACAACGGCGTAACAGTATAATCTGAGCACCACAGATTTTACTCCGACGAACTGAACCAGTGCCCGAACAATATCACCAAACCAAAGAGGAACAGAAAGTAAAAACGAAAGCAGACTCCAATTGTGATCAGATGAATATGCAGATGAATTTTCGTGTACTGAAGACTGGAAAAACGAGATATATATAGGCTTAGGATCTTGTAACCTGCTCATTCATTTCATAGTAATTACAATAGGAATTTTGGAGTTTCAACAGTTTTGGAAAACCAAAAGTCTATTGAAAAAAAATTAAAAAATGTAGCAAAACATGGACACTCTTAAGGGGCCAATTTTGCTCCTTTCGGTCCGACATTCGTATACGCAGGTCGCACTCGCACACAAGTTCAAGGTCCGAAGCCAATTTCGGTCCAAGATTTGCACCCCTCTGCGCGCGCACGTGGAGAGAGCATCTATCCTACACATGATTACACAATTCTAAAGTGCAATCCTTTATAAAGTGGTTTTAAATTTCCTCCACTTCCTATGTGGGACAAAGCTTAAATATTTATTTTTCTCACCAACAAACTCCTTTCACATGGCATACTTTGAGTTTCAATTTCTCATTCACCCGAGCATTATTTTTGACAAGTAAGTATATGATTTCGATATACTCACGGAGGAGAACACAAATCAACTTTCAT